ACCAACTTTACACGGCTTCCTTGTCTTGTGTGTTGCCATGGTGACGCTCTTTTGATCTTTTGATCTTCCTGTGTAAACAACCTGTTTAGCGAAGTGCTCGTTGTTATGATGGATTGGACGGGTACCTGTAATACCTGCTAACTTTATTATACGCTTCGGTAAACGTTGTTACAGGTGTCACGTAGTGCATTTCGTTAAAAGCGTCACGCAGTGAACGCCTAGTTTCCAAGGTAACGACGAAACTCATTTCGCTCTTACACACCGGAGGTTTGTACGGGTTCCCAGGCCACGTGCGTCCCATGCAACAGGGATATCGGGGTATTGGGACCAAGCTAAGCAAAGTGCTGTTCGCATGTCTGAGGCTACTAACTCATGGTTTCAGCGCATGTTGCCTGAACCGTTTATACGAGAATTAACCATAAATTTGTCCCCTTTTTGCTGCTCTTCGCTTCCTACCTTTGAAAACAATAATTTTCGAGATGCAGCCCAACTACCGAAAGGCAAGCGACTCTTAATTTACCACATCAGTTATTTATTTTCTGCATCACCGTACTTGGAGTTATGTTACTTTTTTTTTTTCAAATCTCTTTTGGACAAAATATCCTGACCTCTACATGGTGTTTAATAAATTCAATATTCTGCTGTTGTTGGTGATTGAGACCACCAGCAAATCAAACCAATTTGAGAAAGGTTTAGAAATGTGGAGCAATATTTTGAAGGAACTTCTGTGCGTAATATCATTGTTCCTGAAAGCAACTAATTAAGGCAGCCAACTAATTAACGCGAGAGTTAGCATTTAGGACAAAAGATTTGCTATGGTCTCTCAATAAAATTAACATATTTTTACCACGTTTTTCAAACAATGGATTGTGACTACTGAAGTGAAATGAAGCGAAAATATAAACCACGCAGTCTTTTATGACATTATTTATCATTTTCTTAAGCTAAAGCTAAAATAATTTTGATTCGAGGTCTTTCGAGTGTTGCAGGGAACTTAAATTATCCAAGATGGAACGATAATCTCGTCGCATTTTCGCAACTTTAAGTTTTTTCCAACGAAGTTAATTTTGTGTCATTACAGAATCATGATCTTGAGAAGTCTTTGTCCTCTTTACTTGATTCACTATAATTCTGTATCGAATGATACAGAACATTTAAGACTACCTTCCTGACAGTTATTAAAGCGGTTTATTAAGCCCCACGAGATCCCAGATTGGTTAGGATTGGCTTGTTTTAAAACGAGTTATTCGTATTGCTCGGAAAAATCCAACGTTTTCGTTTGACTTGATCGATGACCCAGGTCGTTTTCAATCTTCTCGGTAATCCAACGTGGATACAGTTATGAACTGAGCGAAAAAGATGTTGAACTAGCTAGCATACTCTAAACAAAGCAAAATAAGTCGTTTTAAGTTGTAAGGATTGTTTCCAGGTTTTGAAACTCTTTATTCGTCTTTGAAAACAATCGATATTTTTCGAAACGTGCTTTGAAAGCCTTGCCGTCAACCGCGGTCCAATTTTCTGTTGGTACCACGGGCTCGACTACGTTCCTTGGCGACCTGCACTTTGCAGAAGCAATGTGCCAGCAAAGCGCTGTTAAAAATTCAGAAATAAAAGAAAATGTTTTAAAATTCAGAATTAATTTTGGTAATCTTACACGTTAGCAAAAATCAGCCTATCACAGTCGAATTTGCACTCTTCCAGCGTGGCAGTAACACACAGTCCAAAATATCATCATCTGCAGTGAAAGCCTCCAGTTCGGCGATCCACTGAGGCAATCATGGCAAGCAGAATCTCGCTTGCGTTTATTCTAGTTTCCAGTTTAAGTTTCTCTTGTGGATTTTTAATAGGTGGATCTGAGAATACTGCGACGGTAAAATTCCACAAAGGAAGCGAATTTGGTTTCGAAAAGAATCCAAATGTTTACGCGCATTTGGTCATACCTCCGTGGAATCGGCCATTCAAACCTGGCTACTGCGCGAGTTGGGAATGGCACACCGACAAGAAATACAGAGAAAAAAGGGTTGCGATCTGCAAGCAGTACACCGAAGGTAATTTCTGCTTCTTTCTAAGCTAATGAAAAAGTGATTTTAGTGCTGTTATGATTCAAAATGGGAGCCGGGTTCTGGAAACTCTGAGATCGGCATCGGACCTTTGCAGAGGAAATACATAACGTGCAAAATTGAGGTTTGTGCTTTTGTAACAGAAAGCGCAGAGTTCGGTGCGAGGTACTGTCATACAGCTGTATATATATATTTCTGTCTTGCGTAAAGCTTTTCTCTCATACTACGTGATCGAACCGGCCCAGTAAACGACATGCTAAGTGTTACGTGGACATTTGTTTTCAAAAGCATTAAAAATGTCAGTTGAACTGATTTCAAACTTCAACATTAATGGCGCCGGTCCAGTGTCGTGTTTTGTTTGGGTGTGTGTGTGTAATTTCTTTGAGAATTCTGAATTACTTACGAATATTAAACACTTCAAATCAAAAATTTGCACGCATTTAAAACATACCCAAGTAAATGATTTGCACTACGTATTTCGTAGCATCTTTCGGAAACACGCTTTTCTTAACTTGTTGAATACTACGCAACCGATTCGCTTCGATCTTTACTCGATGACAGAAAACTGAATCACACGATTGAATTTTGTTTTATTGATTAAAGCCAGGCCAAGCTATCTTTTCCAGTTCAAACAATAATTTGCTTACAATTGGTATCTTTGCTTCGTGTCTGATAAGCTGGTCATGAATATTTAATAACAAATTAATAACCCTGTTTTGTTACGAATATAACACAAATTCTGCGAACAGATTAAATGACAGGAGGAACAAAGAAAACAGTAGGAGACATGCTGCTCTTTATTTTTTTCTTACATGCATGCCTGATTGCTGAAAAACTAAGTAAGCGTTTAATGAAAGCTAACGAGCAATATAGCGATTCTGCTGGAAGTATCTTTTTAAAAGTGAGTCAAACCATCAAAATTAAAAATACAATCTTTCATTTCCAACCGCATAACAAACCTACAATTACACTAATTTCTAGTTATTATTAAAAGCCATGAGCCTCGCGGCAGCTTGCCAGTTTATAGTAATCTATAGGATTCCATCTTTCCTAGTTTCCCAATGATTTATCCACCTGCGCTGCTTAAATTTGGCAACTTAAAAATGCGAACATGGAAACCATTGGTCGTATAAGACAGCAAAGAAAGTGGACGACTTTTCAGCCTCTAAAGTGTACGACGGTATGTCAGATCTCGCGTTCTCTCAGCTTGTTTGACAACATGGCTGGTTGTCAAACAAGCTGAGAGAGCACGACGAGGATTGACGAGAAAGGGAGAAGAGTTGAAAACAACAACAACAAAAAAAACACGTCCATCTCATTAACTGCCTTCGAAACCCGTGTCTCAAAACAAGGTTGATTTATTTAATTAAGTTCAACTGTATGTCATCTTCTTTAACAAGGCAAACATGAATGCGACTCCGAGACGGGTTTCTGCTCAGACAAGTGCCCCTACACCAATGGAAGCTACCCTTACTGGCGAATTCGCAATGCTGTCGATGTGCCTTTCTTGTGGGTCATCTCAGGAATCAAGTTTTATGATACGGCGACCTCCACCAAACAGCTGAACAGTGATCCGAAGAGAGGCTATGCTAGCAGCTATTTTGGACCCGGTGAGTATGATAGTGGCCTCAAGAGTCCTCATGGGCCCGATGAGGATGAGTGAGTGAGTGTGATGGCTAGAATTCATCATCCATGAGAAAACGTTCGTGTAACGAGCATGTATCTTTATAAAACTCGCCATAATAAAGTCACAAAAGACAAATTAAATAAAAATGTGAACCTGGTTAAATGACCACCCAACCAACCAACTAAAAAATCAATGCTGCCAACTAACCCACCAAAAACTTTGCAGAAACAAACAAATCAACGGACGAACAAAACTAAACAATACAAACACAAAACAAAGCAAAACAAAACAAAACAAAACAAAACAAAACTTTAAAAACAAACAACAACAGCAACCACAAAAGAAAACAAACAAACAAACAAACAAACAAAGAAAAATATACAAACAAACAAATAAACGAAATTCCTGTTCTGGACATTGAATTTTCGCATGTCGTGGACCAAAGTTTTATAAGCTAAAGATAAATAGATCATGAATTAGCAATGTTTCTTACTCCTGTGATGAAGGAGCGAAAAACAAAGGGATTCAGACAGATTGCTGTTCGTTTATTTGATTTGTCTTGATTGTACATTGCTGATAAGCTACTTATACACTCTGTTCAATTTACCTTGCAGGATATCCGCCCAGCATGGCATTCGATAACAATCCTGAGAGTCTGTGGATCTCAAACGGAGCCGCCCCTCCTGGCATGCAGTGGATTGGGTACGAATTTCCTCACCCTGTGTTCATCGGCTCGGTCCAGATCGCCACGGAGGAAGACAAACCCGACCGCTTGCCGTCATTGATGTACGTAGAGGCCTCGTGCGAGAAATACTTCAGGAATTTTGTCACGCAATGGGTCATTTTCAACCCAGATCACAGTGTAGACAAGCGTTACAGTGGTAAGTTTTATATCAATTTTCTGGAACATCCGAACTTTGATTTTGATTGTACTGGGAATTTAATATTCTATTTTATCAAAATACATACTGATTTTCCCAACTGTTAGATTAAGCCTTGTTTAACTTGTCGTTTCCCTTCGTCCATAGTGTTCAGTATGGCGAAGTTCACTACCCTTGGCGCCACGGGACGTCTGGGTCCCAATTCCGTAGGGATGCATTACCAGGGACAGGATCACGAGGGTCAGGTCACAGTCAACAAGGGTACCCAGCTCTGGAAGGTTCCTGCCACTGGAATGTACACAATCGAGGCCGCAGGAGCAGCTGGCGGATATGACAAGTTCACCTCTTGTAAGTATAAAAAATAATAGGGGAGGGGAGGTTGGCGTCTTGCTTTTGTTATTCAAACCTTGACAAATTCTACGCTAGTCACATGGGTAAACGTTTGTTTCTGGTAGGTTCTTTTGGTTTCTGTTCGCTTATGATCTATAAGGAGTCAGATTGAGAATATCCCCATATCCCCAAAAAGGTTTTAAGAAATTAAGGTTAATAATTTGATGAATTAAAATTTTAATATCACAGTGTGTCTTAATGCCAATACCCCCGTTCTCAAAACAGATTTGAGAAGGAGTATAGAGGTATGTGGTGGGAGGGGGGGGGGGGTTTGGTAGACAAATCCCCCTCGCTCGTAGTCCAACTCGTTTCAGAATTTCCTGGATCTGCCTCAGTGTTTAAACTGAAAACATATTTAGAGCATTATCAAATCGCCCTCTCCTAAACAAAGTGTTGCTATGTTTTTGTAGCGAGCAAGCGGGGACGTGGAGCCCGCGTCAAGGGAAATTTCCATCTCAAACGAGGCGAAGTGCTGAAGATTCTTGTTGGACAGGAGGGTGGTGTGAACACTGTGTCTGGAGGAGCAGGGGGAGGTGGTGGTAGCTTTGTGGTCACGGATGACAACACCCCTCTATTGATCGGTAAGTGCGCCGTAGAAAGCTTTAGACAGCGCCTAGGAAAATGGAGCGTTCTTTTTCTAAGACCGACAATATGTAAAAAAAATCTTCTTTTGGTTTTGTTCGCACGTATTTTTATGCTAAAAATAATGTTAAGAACCCGACGTGTGACTTCAAATAGCGTCTGGATAGCCTAGATTCAAATATTTGACCACGATTGATCTCTTTGGAACCTCATTGACCCGCTTGACTTCTTTGGCACACCATAATTATTATTTAGCTATGCTAGCCTGGTTAGCGTTAGCGAATTGAATTGACAAAACTGCGGGGTTGGCCTTAAACATGCGTGGCTTGGAGTTCAATTACTGAATATTTCTAGAAAGGTGGGAATTCAGTTGGCAGGAGCTTGGAGCAAGAAAAAAAAGGTTACAGACCCCGACGGAAGTTTAGAAAAGTCTCGTTCAATGTCAAGAGACACGGTTATAGAAAGTTCTAAATTAAACCGGGAATAACATGACCGATTATGTTTCTTTTTAGCTGGAGGGGGAGGTGGTGTCGACAAGATGAAGGGAGACAGCCCACGCTGTAATGGGGCCTCCACTAACAACGGAAATCCCGGATATGGAGGATCGCAGTTTCAAGGAGGATCGGGAGGCAAAGGAGCTGAGGAAGGTGACAATAACTACTCTGGGGGAGGTGGAGGAGGTTTTGAGACGAATGGACGTTCAAACCAGAACTTTGGAGGCGCGAAAGGCACTGGTGGCGAAGGAGGAAAATCATTTTACAAAGGTAATGAAATGGTGGATAAATTACATAGGTTTGGGAAAATCAAGCGAAGAAACTAGCAAAGATTGATAAGAAATGGCTTTATTTCAATTGCACACGGAAAGCATAAAAACTATGCCTATGGTTTCAACAGATATTTGTCAAGGAGATTTACGTGCAAAAAAACTTTTTTGTCAACATTTTCAAACGTTTCACGAAGCAACCCTAATTAGAAATTTGTCTTAGCTTATCAGTCAAACTTAAGTTTTCCGAAAAGAAACATTCAGAAGTACTTATAACTAATTGATTAATTATCATGTCAATCATTTTCAGGTGGCGTTGGGGGCCGTTCCAATCAGAATGAAGTAGATGGAGGGTTCGGTGGTGGCGGTGGACCAAACGGAGCCGGAGGGGGTGGTGGTGGAGGTGGTGGCTACTCCGGGGGTGCCAGTGGTAGCCGATCTAACTCCTGTGGAGGTGGTGGAGGATCCTACAACAATGGCAAGGAGCAATCCAACCAGGCTGGCGCTAATAATGGCGCTGGTTACGTAATCATCAAGCTCCTCAATGTCAGATAGTTAAAGAGTAGGCATTTTTACATTCAATTTTCCAAGCGATAGTTGAAAACATTTCCGCTTTGATTTCTTAGATAGTATTGTTACCTTTTGCCTCGTGAATAAATTACTAATTGCCTTTTGTAATATTTTTTGCTTCTGGCAATGAAATAATAAACTAGCTGACAAGTGCAAATGAGCGACTTCTTTATTTAGTATTATTATTTTTTTTTTTGTGGCAGAAAGGAATTCCTGTAGTTTTCACAGCATTACAGTCAAACCAAGTGAAGCGTACCCCTCAAGATTACATTAATGAATTGATTATTTGAATATTAAACCCGCTAGTCGTTTCAAGAATGCAATAATGAAATGATTATTGGAAAATTGAACCCACTAGTCGTTCCAAGAATACGGCTAATGGGTTTAATGTTCAAAAGAATCAATTTAATATTGATTTTTGAAATGACTAGCGAGTTCAATATTCAAATAATGAATTTGTTATTGTAATCTTGAGGGGTACGCTTCACTTGGTTTGACTGTAACACAGGCAACGATATAATGACTTTTTTTTCTAAACAGCAGGAATCAATGAATAACTGCGCGCTCTGAAGAAAGCGTAGCCATCCCATCTCTACTTTTGAATTTAAACTTGAAAAAAAATTAAATATGTAGGAATATTTACTATATGGGGTTCTTACAACTCCTCCACTCTGTAATATTTATGTGCCGGCCGTACGCTTGCGTCAGATTTCCTATACGCCAGTTCCTTTCACCAGGATAAAAAATATCAACATTGCTATGTCTAATATCATCCTTTAACTCCGCGATTTGTACTTTCGATACGTATCTGGCTTAGAAAAGTGGCGAAGTTGTCTCCTCATCAATAATCCTGCGCCTGTTCTGTGATAAAAGCTTTGACCATTAGCCTTCTCTGGTTCGTGCAAACACTGGTATTTAACACTCAGTTCTCCTGTCCTTCCCTGCCTCGACACAGTGCAAAACACTGAGCGCTTGGGGCCTGGGCTCTGTTGAGGGGCTTGGAGCATTTTCATTGCACACTGTTGCTTCATAGTTTCTTTATCCTGGTCATTTAAAGCTGTTGCGTTAATTTTGATGTTAAGAATGTCTATCATTCCATTAAATCCACATCTTAACACCACATCTCCTGTTTCCGATGCGCCTACGAATAGCAAAAAAAAACCACTAATAATTAATTTAAAAAATATTATTTGTGGCAATAAACTTAAAGAGGCGACGAATTTTGACCAATAGATTTTGATTTTTTTTTCTAATCACTGAACAGACCTCTAAAAGTTTCCAAATTACAGTTTCACGTTACAGTACATTCACATAATTAAAATATATATATTGTCAACCCTTCAAAATCTTGATCCGCTTCGATTAAAGGTAATTAATATTAGTGTTAGCAACAATTGCCTATCTTACTTTCTGATACAGGAATTTCAATACTGGGTAACTAATAACCAGTTAGGGACTCCCACCTTGCGCTTACTGAGTCAGGGACGGATCTGGGAGGAGGGTGCAGGGATGGTCACCGCCCACACCCCCTTCCCCGAGATGAAGCCCTCTTCTTTGTATTCGCTTTTAAAATTTGTCTACCTCACCAGTCAGTTACGCCATTCCTTAGTGGTGCACCCCTTCCTAAGAAAAATCCTAGATCTTCCCGTGTGAGTTGTTGCTTTCCTATTTTATTGGACAGAATGCTCTTACATAAAAAGGAAAATAAATAAATAAATAAATAAATTCACTTTAAAGGAGAACTCCTCAACAGTGTAAAGAACGTCTATTGCAGACAGTAAATTTCTTATAGCAATTAAATTTTGTCCTCCTCTATTGCTTCTCATCAACTCGTTTCTAATTGAATAGCGTAGTTATACTCTTTACATTTACAGGTGCAATAAATGAAATATTCTATTCTTTACATGACAGTCCAGCTGACCTTGTAACGTGAATAATTTTTACACATAATAGTGCACAAGCATTTCTCCACTCTATGCGCCCTTTCTCTCACTCAGTTCAAGTAATAAAGTAGGTCTATTGCTTGATGCTCTTTCGAATTCATTTTACTTACTTGTGCGAACTATTTGTCTCTGCGGATCACCGGTTGTTACACATCGATACACCGCGACAATCATTACATCAGAAGGGAGCTTTCGCCCTGAAAAGCTCAGCAAGCATTCTGCAGGATGGGTCCCTTTCACTGGGTGGAAAGTGTGTTGGCACTCGGTTTGAGATTCGCTGTGAATTCCTGGAAACACGTGATTTGCCTCGACGGTTCGTTTCAATTTAAACAAAGAGATACCGTTGATGACGATGCCTCCTGTTAGATGGTCGTCGCATGTCAGTTTTATAGGTAGGACGTAGGACTTCGCTGAGGACATTAAAACAAACAAACCATAGTTGGAATACATCAAGACTCAGATTTGATGTGAGGGTGGGTGGG